CTGATCAACAGGAAACCTGAAGCCAAATATACCTGAGGTTGGAACCCTGCTCATTCATGTACTAAATTTACCAGCTAACTATCTTTGAGTAAGTTACATATCTGGGCCTCAGATTTATGATAAATACAACTTAGGCTACCCATAACTCCTCTGTAGGGTTTTGAAGAGTAAAGAGGCAGAGCACGGTGCCTGATGTCCACGTGTTTTTCCCTCGCTCCTCTTTAGGGTGGACGTAATTCAAGAATGGAAGGATATGAGAAAGCCACTGACTGACTCCTTCCTCTTGGCTTTCCGCAAGTGAAATTTACCTGCTCATTTACACAGGTGATCCAACCCCTCTATATTTTCAATATTATAACCTTCAGCTAGGGTAAGGCAAGCTCTTGTAGTTTTAAAAATTTTATTATGCTACTGGACAAAGAAATGACCCAGAATTGCTTTTTTACAGTAGTTAGAGGGGACACACCTAGAATGTGATAAGTTGGTTTTGCTGAACCAATTTTAGATAAAAACACACACATACGTTGACCTTGCGCTTTCCCTTCCGCTTTCTTTAAAATCTCCTTGACACGAGGATGCAAAGGCAGCAGGTGCCATTTTATTGACAACATTGCTGCAGAGACACTAGGATTAAGGCTGAGAGCCAACAGGACCTGGATTCAGATCTAGCTCCTGGCTGACCTCTGTCTTAATGTCCTGGTCTATCTAATGCAGATGCGGTAGTGTGCCCTCTCCTAGTTACAGCTGAAAATTCACCAAGACAAGGGAGATGAGCACTACGACAGGCTCTGGTATATGGACAGTGCTCCATGAGTTGCACCTATTACAATTGTGATTGTCATGTCGATAAGTAACAATAGAGACAGTTAGAAATAGATTATAAGATCTCCTGTCTCAAACCTTTGTCTTGGGATCACCGTCAAGCTTTGCTTGTCTAAAATGTGTGGGCAAGTAAATATTTTATTATATCACAAAATTAGGAGGAATCACCCTCAAATAATATTTAAGTTTACTCTTACCTTTTTTAAAAAAATTGTGTTAGACTTTTTCAGATTAAGCTCAATGTGCATAATAAACCCTTAGCAAAAAATGAACTTTTGCTGACAGTTAATTGCTGCACTTCTGCTGTGACAGGTGTACCCCAGGCAGCAATCACAAGTTCAAATACTCAGTGAGTCAGAGTTTCCTTTCATTAACACACAAGGTTAGAAACAGGTCACACGCTCTGAGTCAAACCATTGCTTGCCTTCAGCGTATAATTCGAAATCTGACCTTTACTGAAAATGTTATGATGCAGCACCACAATCATTTCCATCATTAATCAATATGAAGGGAGATTAGGAATAACTTCTTTGGATTTTGGAGCCCAAGCATTCTGGGACTAAACCCATAAAAGCTGTTTAAAGGAGGTTGAAGATCAGCAATTAATGACTACTTCTAACTTTCATTAAAGCTTAATTCCCGTGAACATAAACAACATTTATTCCCTAGATGTCATGTTAATATTACTTACAAAAAAACATTTGAAATAGAACTTGAAAAACAAACAGCCAAGAAAAAAACCCAGTAAATCATAGGAAGAACTATAAATAAAAAATAAACCTTTAGTGACGAGCATTTTTTTGTTTGTCTGACTTGTGGAGAGTGCACCATCTAGTGGGAATTCTCAATAAATGCAATCTTATTGTCACTGCTCAAAATGTTCAAGACCTATAGACATTTTTTCTTGTTGTTGTTTTAACAATCTGTACAGGAAGATTCTTATGCCAAGTGTTATAAATACTGTTTTCACGCAGTTTAGCTATAGGAGCTGATGTCTGTATCTGTACCATTTATATTCTAGAGTTGAGCAAGCGTGCTCTCTGCTTATTCTAGGTATTGTTCCAATTTCACAAACAGGAAAGTATTCTTAGGTGCATTTAATGATGAAATAAACCCCCATAAATTTTCATGTGATACTCTGAAAACCTTTAGCTTCAAAAACAGAGTCAAAGTTTTAAAAAAACACATTTGCAGTTTTAATTATAACAGCATTAGTTACAATAATGCTTTCTTCTCTTTGGAGTTCTAATCACGTAAGAACATATACATATTGAGTATGCCTTCAGCTCACAGGTACTGCTACGTGTCTGTTTTACGTTTCATGCAGGTAATGAGTTGTTATTAATAAAGAAGAGAGAAGCTGCATTTGAAGGAAGCAGGCTTGCCTTTGTAGTGTTTGCTTTAAGACTCAACATATTTCATCAAAATTTCACAACAAGCTGTAATGTGGAATGAGGATTAAATAAGCAAAGGGTTATTCAGATGGTAATGTTGGGGCTGATTTGTTCTATTTAATAGATACATCAATATCTTTTTTAAAAAATCAGATAAGTAGACGTGATAATAACAGCACTCAATAATAATGTTTAAACGTGTATATATATACAAATATATATATACTTATATATGTATACAATTACATACGTATAGTGATCTTCTCTTTACCTATGAATACCGATGTTACGGAGACTGAGAAGATTCATCAATTTGTGGAAGGTTATAAAGCTAGCAAGTTCAGATTTATACTACTGATTGCCAACAAGCCAAATAATTTCCAAAATTATGGTATTTAATATATGTAATTACTAAACAAAAGGTTAGACCGCAACCCAAGTTCAAATATCATACAAATATAAACTCCTCAAACCTTACCAGCACTGTAAAAGTGAGAAGACTCACCTAACACAAATCACAAAAATATTGTGATATGCAATACATTATAACTTGCAAAACAGCTGGTTTTATCATTAAAGAATACTTTGTGGAACTCTCATTGTACAAATGTTCCAACTGATGTATTTATGAATCTAGAGTGATGCTATATATTTTTACTCAGGAATGTTGTTTTGCGCCCCTTAGGCATTTATAATACATTTTAATAAAACAACTTCTTTGTTCAAGGAAATTGAATTATTCATGATTTTGCTGAGTTCTTTCCTGTTGGAGCTTTTCACAAAGCAATTCCTGACTGTTTGACTTTCTAAACAGCCTAAGTGATTCCAAACTCTCTTTTGCAAAGAGAAATGAAGGTTAGAACCAGAGCTCCATAAAGAAATGCTTGTTTTCTCCCATACACTCCCACACTTCAAAAGACTGGTCCAAACCACAGACCAAGAAGTTTAGTTCTTTCTTGGAATGGTAGATTAGATTATTGCATTTTATTCCTCAGTGGCTCTATGTTCACAATGCCAAGCACACATGTACACATGTGTGGGCACAGACGCACCCTCTAAACCAATGATCTACTATAAGCTTTGAGCTTTCGCTCGTAAGAAAGATTAGGAACAGAGAAATCCAAGACTTTTCCCCACAGGCTATCCTTGAAGACCTAACCCATAGTTCCCAATCTGACACTTTTCCTCCCAGGAACATGTCCCATTAGAAACGTTCCACATAGAAAAATAAAAAGTGAATCCCAGGTAATGGTGTGTTCAACACTCCTGTTGTAGGAGATACTTCAGTACAAGCCTCTGAGTTTGATTTCCTCCTTTAAAAACAAGATTTGACAAAAACATTTCTAGTGCCCTGAGAGCTTAGAATTTCTTTTTTTTCCACCACTTTTGCCTGGGCTACTGTGTTTGAATAGTAGCGCTTTCTTTTTCTTCTGAACTTCTGTTGCTTAGGGGACAAGAAATCCCAAAATAGTCTTTCATTTTAAATAAAACACAATTTTAATAGGCTTTCTCAACTTCTTGACTACTTTCCTTCTACTTGACATAAACTCTATCTATATTCCTGAATGTAATATTTTCAAAGATTTGAAAATTTTCAATTGAAATATTGAATTGAAATATTTCAAAGAGTTGAATGAGCGTGATTATAACGCAATGGTAAATTAGGATACAGCCACTTCATCCTCTTCCCCTGGCCGTACACCTCACCGTCATTCAACCTCACAGCAATGGTGACACAGAAGCTGTCCTGTCACTTCTCCGACAAGTTCAGCCCCATTCAGACCTCATTGCCCCTGGAAACCCCTCATCTCTCTAGCTCGCACTCAAGACCCCCACTTCACAGTCTAAGCGGCTTCCCCACCTTCACTCTCAAAACCAGCTTGTCTGGTCCTCGAGCCACACTTCTCTTCCCCAAGCCTTCTTTCATTTTTCTCACAAAAGTTCTCATAGATTATGAAAATTCGTGCCATTCTCCTTGAATCCAGTAACGAACACCCAATAGACTATAAATCAGGTGTTAGATATCTGAAGTAAATCCTCGTCTCTTTCAGTGTCTAGTTCCTCCATGCCCTGCCGTGAATTCACTGGTAAGTTTGGTTCCCTCTTGCTCCCTTCTCCCACCCCCTTCTCTTCTGAGCGGGATTTACTCTCATATTGTTTTGTTCTCATCCTAATCCAAATCTGGACCAATCTTTGTGAGGAGACACATTGGATCGGGCAGTTGGCACACAATGAAACGCACACAATGCAGACATTGTTCAGCTCACACTTTATGACCCCCTCACCTCCATCACCATCCTATGCCCACTGCCTCCTCATTTTAACAAATGCTTTCTGCCTCCAGTGCAGAAAATCAGCTCCTCAGTTTACGTGTGTTGCTCTTTTTAATACATTAGGTAACCTCATCTATTACTAATGATCAATAATTGCCCAAACAATATTTCCCATTATTTCAAAAGACTACCAAAGATTAGGAATGCATAACTAATGTTATATCCAAAATACTCAAAAGGAATATAAAACCTTACATATGCACAAATTTTTTTGTTCTAATCTGAAAACTAGGAAAACAGAAACATAAGTTATTACACACAAACAAAACTTCACCTAATCATTAAATAAATGGTTATAACCCTATTATACAGATGTTTCTAAACTAACAGTGTCCAATTGTTCTTTTTTGGTCACCATTACTTCTTTGAAAAATAAGAACATTTGAAGACTGCTAAAAGGCAATCATAACTGAAGACAGAACTACCAGATAGAAAATACACAGTCACTTACCGGTGTGCACATAAATTATTAAGGTGAAGTCCATATTTTTCTTCAGCAGATAACCCATCCATCAACAAGTAGAAAACGAGGAAATTGCTGTGGCCAAGAGGTTGTGAAACAAGTCTAGATTTCTCTAGCATGTATGTATAAATTCTGGCTGGTTAAGAAAAGAAAAGTGATTCTGTTAAATGACATTATTAGTTTCATTTCCACAAATTTAAAAATATTAATTAATTACAAGAGAAAATAATGCAACTTCTTTTCAAACACAGACGTTTTCTTAACAAAATTGACTATTTTCTAGAGCAGTTTTTTAGGTTTTCCAGATAAATTAAGCAGAAAGCACTGAGAGTTTCAATATACTCCCCTCCCCACCCAAACACACTGTGTCCCCTTTTATTAACATTTGCATTAGTGCAGTATACTTTTTAAAATGGATGAACCAATATAGATACATTATTTTTAACTAAAGTCCATAATTTACGTTGGTGTTCACTCTTTGTGTTGTATAGTTCTATGGGTTTTGAGAAACTCATGATGTCATGTATCCACCATTGTAACATCATACAGAATATTTTCACTGCCTAAAAATCCTGTGTTCCATCTATTCATCTCTCCTTCTTCCCTAATCCCTGGCAACCAATGATCTTTTTACTGTCTCTATAGTTTTGCCTTTTCCAGAATGTCATATAGTGGAATCAGACAGTATGTAACCTTTTCAGATCAGCTTCTTTCAATTAATGATATGTGTTCAAGGTCCTTTTTTGTCTTGTCATGGCTTGATAGCTCATTTTTATCAGTAAATAATATTCCATTGTACGAATGTACTACAGTTTGTTTATCCATTCACCTATTAAAGGATGTCTTCGTTGCTTCCATTGTTTGCAACTATGAATAAAGCTCCTATAAACAATCATGTCCACATTAGGTGGACATAAGTTTTCAAATCAGTTGGGTAAATACTATGGAGCAAGGTTCCTGGATCACCTGGCAAGACTATAATGAGTTTTGTAAGAAACTGCCAAACTGTCTTCCACAGTAGCTGTACCATTTTGCATTCCCACCAGCAATGAATGAACATTCCTGTGGCTCCACATCCTTGCCTGCACTTGATGTCGTCAGTGTTCCTGATTTTAGCCATTCTAGTAGATGTGTAGTGGTATCTCACTGTTGTTTTAATTTCCAATTTCCTAATGACATATGATGTTGAACATCTTCTTGTACGCTTATTTCCATGTGTATATCTTTGGCGAGGTGTCTGTTCAGATATTTTGTGCATTTTTTAAATTGGGTTGTTTGTTTTCCTATTGTTGAGTTTTAAGACTTCTTTCCATATTTTAGACAATAGTTCTTTATCAGATGTGTCTTCTGCAAATATTTTCTCCCTGTCTGTGGCTCCTCATTTCATCCTCTTAGCAGTGTCTTTCACAGAACAGAGTTTTTAATTTTATCAAACTCCATCTTATCAATCTTTTCTTTCAAGGACTCTGGTGTTGTATCTAAAACACCATTGTGAAATCCAAGGTCACCTAGAATTTCTCCTATGTTATCTTTCAAAAGTGTGATAGTTTTGTCTTTACATTTAGGTTTATAATCCATTTTGAGTTACTTTTTGAGAAACATCTCTGTCTTGATTCATTTTTTTGTATGTGGATGTCCTGTTGCTGTAGCATAATTTGTTGAAAAGACATTCTTTTTCCATTGAGTTACCTTTGCTCCTTTGTCAAAGATCAGTTGACCATATTTGTATGGATCTATTTCTGAGCTCTCTGTTCTGTTCCATGGATCTGTGTGTCTGTTCTTTCACCAAGACCACGTTGTCTTGGTTACCACAGCCCTACAGTAAGTCTTGAAGTCAGGTAGCACCAGTCCTCCAACTTTGTTCTTCTTTGTCAGCGTGTTGGCTATTCTGGATCTTTTGCCTCTCCATATAAACTTTAGAATCAGTTTGCTGATATGCACAAAATGACCTGGGATTTTTATTGGGATTGTGTTGAATCTATAGATCAGGTTGGGAAGAACTGACATTTTAACAATATTGAGCCTTCCTACCCATGAACATGAGATGTCCCTCCATTTATTTAGATCTTTGATTTCCTACATCAGAGTTTTGTAGTTTTCCTCATAGGATCTTGTACCTATTGTGCTAGATTTATATCTAATTATTTCATTTTTTGGTGCTAATGGAAATGGTGCTGTGTTTCTAATTTCAAATTCCAAATGCTCATTGCTGATATATAGGAAATCAATTGACTTTTGTATATTAATCATGTATCCTGCAACCTTGCTATAATCACTTACTAGTTCCAGGACTTTTTTGGGCTATTCTTTTGGATTTTCTACAGAGATAATCAGACAATTATCTGTGAATAAAGACAGCTTGATTTCTTCCTTCCTAATCCATATACACTTTTCTTTTCTTATAACATTAGCTAGAACTTCTGGTAAAATATGGAAAAGGAGTGGTGAGAGAAGATACTCTTACCCTATTCCTGACCTAACACAGAACTTTTGTGCACAAATATAATCTGAAACAAGACATGTCCTTGCCTATAACACAGGCATTGAAAGAAGTTTTAGATTTTTCTTGATTAATGTCTCACAATTTGAGAGTACCAGTATTTGCTGTGCTATATACGTCAGTAGACATTGGTTATAAAGTGCTCTGCTATAGACACTAGCAAGTATTATTATCACACAGATCAGAAAGGTATACGGCCACACTATTAAGGACCAGAAATATAGACAATAGTCTCTTACTGCTGGAAACACTGGAAGAAACCCACAGCAGCAAAGACAAATATGACCTGAGTTTATGCAGGTACAATTTAATATATATAAAGTATGTTAGGAAAGTTTCAAGACCTATACTGAGATTACAAAAAGGACCTAAATCATGGTTTATAGCATAGTGGTAGGTAATGAAACAGATACTGCAACAATAAAGTTTGCATCCCAGGTAGGGAGTGAGATAGGTGATGTGTCTGCAACATAACACATCCCCAGTGTGAACAGTGTCCAGTCACCTTCCTAGTTTATTGTGACCTCACACATACAATGGTAGGACTAATACCTAATATTGATTATTTTGGTCCTCTGCCTTTAAACATCACAAAAGCAAACAAAAAATAACCTACATCATAAAGACATGTTGAAATTTCTTTCATAGTAGCTGAACAATGACAGAAGTATGCAATATGGGAATCACAACCTCAATTTTGCTTCAGAGCTAAGACTGGCAATTCAGAAGCTAGTGCTAATTAGAATTTATGGCATGCTGAAATTTATGACATGCTGAAAATCCTATTGTTTCTGGAGCATTCTTTTTATTTGAATTTAGGTTTATTTTTATCATTATGAATGGTTAGTAAAAAAATTATGTATGAATTTCAAATGCAACTGTGAATTACTGTAGTTTCTCACTTTGAATTTAGAATTCATGGTCAATAATTTTTTTGGATCAAAAGGTAGCAGTTTGTAGGAAGGCAAATGGATCTAATTACTCTCTACATTTGAACTATAAACAACATCTCGTGTAATGAATCTGCTAGTAATTATTCTAGAGTCCAGCCTCTAAAAGCAAAAATGTGAAGTCTCTCAATTTTAATTTTATACAGAAAATCCACTTGAATAAATGTAACCACTATTACAGTGCTTCGCCTCTTGTAAATTTAGTAAATGGTCAATTTAGCCAGTGAGAATGACTATCAGTGCTAAAAGAAAATCTCGAATATTCCTTATGAAGAAAAGTTGTCTTATTAGACACCTTTTTAGAAAAGCTGTTGTAAGTGCATAAAGACACTCTCTTTCAAAATATCCCTTTAGTTAGTGGTCCAAAGGTGATGTTAAAGTTAGAACAGGGTGGTATAGTTTCTTTTCCATTTCTGCATGAGTATTTAATCAGGTGGTAAGTATAAGTTGAGGTCTTAATTATTAAATTTTCTTTCCTTTTTTTTCCATCTTAAGAAAATTATTTGCTGAAAATATTTTCTGTTTAATATTAATATTAACTCTGAAATAACTAACTGCTCAAGAGAATATTTTTAAAAATCTATACACATCTGAAATAAACTGCCACTAGTCATTCCCTTCCATTATTTTTTAGTCATCACCTAAAGAAAGATCAGGTGAGAAGGGAGGGCTGCGTGGTGAGCTTCTGACCATCATGCTTCTACACTCAGAGAAAAGGTTGACACCCACCTGTCCCAGCCAATGTGCAAACTTAATTTGAAGGAGCATTCAAAGTTAATCACATTCCACACCACAGAGTGACTTCAATACTTTTCATCTAAATTCAAAAACAGTGTAATTAGTCATCACCCGAGTTAGCTCATCTCCAGCAGTGAATAAAATTGCTGTGGATTAGCAGGATTCTGATCAGTAGGATTAAAATATCTTGAAGGAGCTTTTAGATAGAAGAAAACACAAAACAACCAAAAAATCAAATTTCCATGAGACTCTAATACACTTCCAAATGGAGAAAATGCAGGCCTTTTTGTTGTGTCTGAAATGAAACTATAATAATGGAAAGAAAACAGCAGGTTTTCAAGTTAAAGAGGTTTTTGACTCATTCATGCAAATGTCCACAAGCAGAAAGAAATTTTCTGCTAACTGATTTCTTGACTTCTCAAGACTCGTATGTTTTAAATGTTGTATGTAAGAAATATTCTTGACTAGAAATATACTTAGAATTCTCTATCTTTCCAGAAATCTACATAAGAATATGTTTATCAAAAAGTTTTGCTACTGTAAAAACATATACGTTTGCAGATTATATATGACATAATGTAGTGTAAGTGCCTGACATTAAGCTTTTGATTGCCAAGGCATCCATTTCAAAGACACCCATCTCTAATAAACACATTGCCAGCTATACAACTAGATAAAGAGCCAGGCCGCCCCCTCCATGACGTTCCCCTTTAGAAAGCCCTGGGTGACCTGGATAACTGACCATTTGACCGACCTTGCTTTTCCCTCCTGCAGTTCAATTCCCACTCTTACGTTTTAAATTCATCAATAAAGAATAAAGCCGAGAAACCCTCGCCACATGCCCTCAACACCAATAAAGGCAGAGGCCCAGGTCTAAGCGCTCTCTCTCTCTCTCTCTCTCTACCTGCGATCTCACTGTGCAGCCCTGGGTGTGCTGTGTACCCTCCA